TGAATTTGTGCATACTGTATGCCTTGCTGGGCAACCAGTTTCTTGTGGAGGAACCAACTGGTGACTTTGTGTGGCAATACTGTCCAGCAGCAAAAACTCTTCCTAACACAGACAACTTCCCTCATAAGTATCTCAGAGAAAATGATGAAGCTCTAGTATCTAAAGCGACTGAAAGAATTAATGGAATGTGGTGTCGTTTGATTTTTGATGAATCCCCTGATGTGTTGGACCGCCCAATTCTCAGCCTTTTGTTTTCATTTTTTGATTTCAAAGCCAAAAAAGCCTCCACCGTTTTGTGCAGATGTGACATTTATCCCTTTTACTGATACACCATGCATCCATGCAGCAGTAAATGCAATGTTAGAGACATGAATGCCACATGCTCCTGGTGGCTGGGGGGGGCACGGTGAGCTCCGGCAGGTGGCAGCGGCACTGTCAGCGGTGGGAGTGTGGCAGCGGTAAGTGTGGAGCTGCTGCAGGCAACTGTGGCACTGTCAGTGGCAGGGGGTGGCGAGCGCTGACCAGTGGTTGGCGACCACCCACAGACGCCACTGGCAGCTTCAGCAGTGGCCAGTGGCAATTGCGGACCACCATTTTAGATGCCACCAGCAGTGTTGGCTGCAGGAGTGGTGAGCGGTGACCACTCACAGGCGCCACCAGCAGTGTCAGCAGTGCCTTTTTGTAGGGGGTACACTGTCATGCTCAGGGGGTGCACGTGCAGCTGCGCGCACCCCTTACACATCACCAATGGTTAGACATGTACCAACTGACTTAGGGAAATATGGCCACCACTAACACGGATTCTGCCTCCTATATGGCTAACTTTTCACGGGAGATAAAACTCAATCACTATTACAAGTTAGTTGAACTGCTCACTTAATTCATGTTGCATTATCATCAGCCACAGCTGTTGAAGAAATGAGAAACGTGGAATCTTTTGTCGTTGGACTTGGGGCTGTTTTCAAGCATGTAAACAAGCTGAAGGCTTTGTTTTATAAAGTGCGAGACAACTGCAAACTTGACTGCTGATTACCAACTCCTGTTGTGCTGCTTCGGCAAATGAGTTTCTGCGTGGCTGCATGTCATGTAAATAAGACATGGACTGTGCTAATGCATATTTTAGATCACCCTGAATTTGTCGGCACTAAAGCAGAAACTCTGAAGAGACAGGCAAATAATCTCAGTGACCACCAGATTCTGTGCACCAAGGTCTTGTTCATTATTGAGAAGTTGGATTCTCTGTCTGAAATGCAAAAAGCAATGGAGTTCTCCCCTGCTCCCGTCAACACAACATTTTCTAATACAGATGTTCACCACATACTAACAAACAAAATATCATCTGAATTGAACACAAAAGCTGCAACAGAAACATATGGCGAGAAAACACAATCGTTTCTTAAAATCCTTCTGACTGTGGAACATGAAAGAACCAAAAAAGCTTTCAAAGACGTCAACACTGTTCTCTGTGAAAAATGAAAGGCAACTGTAACACGTAATTTGAACCACAAAGTGTTCAGCACCAAAGATCGTTTTTAGAATGTCATCCAGGTGTTGAACCCCTACCTCGAGGTGAATTTTGCAGCAGACTATGACCACTATGCCAGAGTGTTTCAACCATTTGCCACCAAAGATGAAATTTCGCATCTTAAAAGTAAATACACTACCTACATGAACATGCCTATCCATGACAATGTGGAACTGGATGTGCTGGCTTGTTGGAATACCCACCAAGACACACTTCGCAATTTTAGTAAAGTTGCATGATGAGCTTTAAGTGTACCCCCTTGGATCAGTGGATGCAGAATGCTTATTTTCAAAACTGGACTACATCCAAGAGAGCAAGAAGCTCAACATGAGTGAGGGTACACTTAAAAAAACCATGTGAGCCTATGCAAACCAGGATTTCTGGAAAAATGATTAGTTTTGATGGGACACAAGGTTTGTATACAAAAAGTTTAGCCTAACCTTGCTGTTCTTTGTTCTTTTTCTAATAATTCAAAATCAGTTTATGAAAACCTGAGTTTTTATACAAAAAACTTAAGAAAAAGAAATATTGTTGTACAAAGGTTGGACTTTATTTAATTTTTTAAAATCCTTGTTTATGGATACTTCCATAGGGAGTTATGACACCAGATGATGCTACTTCTGGCAAGTACAACTATTTCTTGCTGTAATACAAATGTAGAAACCATTTAAACACGTGTATGAATGATCAGCATACTAAATAGTATACATGTTTCCTTTGATTTACGTGGGTTCTGTATGGGCCATTTGTGCCAGTTCACAGGGATTTGAAGTGAACAACAGGTGTAAATCAGTAAAAACTGAATGACTTAAAAAAAAAATCAGGGAATTTATCAGTGAAAAATGAGTAAAAACTGAGAATGCGGAACACTATGAATTCAGCAGTGAGGAAGAGGGAAGGAAAGAGTGAACAGCAGCAGCATTCACTCCCTGCGCTCTGGAGTTGCACACAAGCAGGTGCTCTGGCCAGACCCTGCCCTAATCAGCTGGTGAGCTTGGAGCTCACTGTGCATGTGTGGCACAGCCAAAGGGAGCAGGGAAGATCTGCACTTTGCCCTGCTCCGGGATCTGCTACTGTTTGTCTGTCCTAGATTCCCAGCATGAATGCTGACTCCCAGTGGTTTGAGCACACCTTTCCCCACAACTCCAAACTTGTGGGCAGTCCGGTATGCTGTTTTTCTCTTCAGTGACACGTGACAGTCAAAATAAAAAGTCATACAAATTTTACAAGGGCTCCATGCATTTGTCACTTTAGACAGCACAAGAAATATCCAACTTTAGATAAAAGAATCCATGCTTAGGTGCATTTGGAGCTTAACAGTTTATGAATGGGATAATATGGTACCGTTGCCTGAGATCCAAGGGGACTGAACCTAATTCTCTGTTCCTATTTCCCTGCCTCATTTTCCTCACCATTCAGGAACTTTCTTTGGGCTTAGGTCAGAGTCCCCTAAGGGGGTTTGGATCTCTCCTCCCAATTTCTCCTTCTTTTTTCCCTGTGCCATCTGTCTCCTTCTGTATTTCTAAAATGGCTAACATCACCAACTCTTGAGGAATTCCTGTGATTCGAAGCCAGCTGCACATTTCTATTGAAAAGTCTCTGTGAAAGCGCAGCTTCCACATTCCTTCTGTGCAATGCCCAATTTCTCCCCCCTCTTTGATACACATACGAATTCGTTTACTTTTCAGACAGATCACCTTGTGTTCCCCAGTGCATGATTTCAGCTCCAACTCATTAGTGTCAAAACATAAAAGTAACAACAGCACATAAAACAACAAACCTTTGCCAAAAGTAGGAGACAACAGCTGACTATTAAGGAAGCCCCATTATTTCTTGGCACAGTCTCCAGTGTTTTCAGAGCCGCATTTCTGAAGGGCCTCCCTTGACTGAGGCTGCACACCATCTGCACATGCAACTGATGGCTCCAGATACACGTAAAATATCCATAAATGTACTTTCCATGATTTCTTTACAGTCCTCATCACCCCTTACTAGAGATTTTTTCCTTCCTAACTCAGAGATCTCATCTATGATGGAAAATATTCATGAGGAAAACTATACCAGCAAACTCCACACAGCTTATACCTATTTCCTGAGTAAAAAAGCTAGACTGGCAAAAGCCTTTTTTATGCTCCTATACCTGTGTCTACATGCACAGATACGCTATTTCAAGAAAAAAATGCCACTGAAATCACTCCAAGGTAGCTTTGCCCACTTGGTTTGAAGCCAGCCAGAGCAGGACCTTTACCTACCGTATGAAATGGTTGAGGATCTAATTTTACTTGCCAGTTGTGCCAGCCCAGGCTAAAATATCAGCCGACACTGCCTACACAGGGCTATCCCACCCCCGGGGGTCTGGACTCACTCTGCCAAGGCACTAATACTGGCGTGCTAGTCCTGTGAAGCGGCACTGACGTAACGACTGCCCTACCAGGTCCGGGCCCGAGGGGCGGGGGGATGCAGCTGCAAACTGGGGCTACAGCCACCCCCCAAATCGCGGTAGCCGCCCCATAGCCCCCTCCTAGCGCCCCCCGGGCAGCGCCTGCCCCGTATCCACCGCGCCCTGCAGCCGCCCGCGGAGCAGGGACCAGCGAGCCCGGGGCTGTCCTGCGCACGGAACCGCACGCTCCACTCTCCTCCCTTCCCCTCCTCTCCCAGTTACAAAAGTAGAGGCACAGCACTCCGGACATTACGGTACCCAATCGCGGGAGCCTCGGAGTGTGGCCAATCAGCGCGCAGCCTACCGTTGGCGCGCTGGGCCCCAGCTCCAATGGGCGCCAGGACTGGGCAGGCCGAGAGGAGGGTGAAAGGTGAGAGGTCCTGGCACGCTGTGCCCGGAAGTGTGGTGATTGGATGTCATTTCCGCCTTTTCCATTCCAAGCCTCCGGCGGGCTCACGTGGAGCCCAGGAGCAATTTTTTGTTCGTTGGGCGCCGTCGTCTCTGCC